CGCTGAAAAAAATCACACACACACACAAAAAGAAAAGAAAATAAATCTGCGCATCGCCTGTAGCTCAACTGGAGAGTGCAGTAACGTCTCCACCAAATTAAACCTGTTGCAGGTCCATTCTGGTTACTCAGACTATGTTTGTTTATGTTCATCACGGACGTAGAACTTCTGTGTTTTTTAGGGAAAGTTCACTCTGTGCATGTCAGTGCTTCTATTTAGAAAAAAAGCCGGGAACATTTAAACGCTCGTCATGATTGGATTGTCCTCATGTAAACGATGCATTCAGATTATTTAATCAGAATACATTTCAATCCTATCAAAGAATTTTGCACATATAAACATAGCTAGTAAGTTGAGTTTGTTGGTGTCAGCCACCCTCAGTCTGTTCCCCCAACGTGCAACAGCATGAAGGATAACACTGGCCACCATAGACTCAGAAGATCCTGAGCATCATCCAGGAGATCTTGAACAACCTCAGACATCTCAGAAAGTAGAGATGACTTTTGCGCTTCCTGTAGATGGCATCTATGTTTTTAACCCAGTCCAGTTTATAAATGGTAAATGGCTTGAATTTATATAGCGCTTTTTAAAGTCCACATGGACTCTAAAGCACTTTACATTATAATCATTCACCCATTCACACACATTCACACACTGATGATGGTAAGCAGCTGTGGCCACAACCACAGAAACTGCAGGAATAGTATGACAAAAAATGTAGTGGTTTTGACCCCAGGACTTTTTAATAGACCCATGCCTCTTCTGAATGTAGCCTGTGTAAATGATTAGATCACCCAGGACACATGTTAGTGACATGTCTGAAGGGACCATGGAAAATTTACCAAAATAAATTTCTAAAAGTTAATCAAGATATTTCCTCTAAAAAGGGGGGTCCTTAAGCAGCTGGAGATGATGTCTAAGAACAGACAAACTAAAAGATGAACCAGATGCTCATGGTCCATGTACTTGTGACATTTAGCACAGTTTGTGCTTCAAACATGACTTACTTCTGGAAAAAGAAAATCCCCATGACAACAGCTAGGGAGACCAGGTCTGAAGTGATCCAGATGAAGTTGTAAGCACTGCGACTCTGTAAAGATAGAGAAGACGTAGTTTTCCAATGTGGCCACCAGAGATCACTGTAGACTTTTATGTTTCATAAAGCCCATGTGCTTTAGTAGGACCTGTGGTTCAGTTGTCCTCTACCACATGCTGAGCTCCCTACTACAGTATTTCTTTGTSTTCTTACCTTTAATTCTCACTTTTATCAGTTTCTTTTCTGTCCTCTCTCCTGCTGTCCTTGTGTGTGTGTATACTTGTTTCTGCTACAGAGTGAGGACCATAATATTTTTAACCAACAAAGTGAGGTCATTTTTGGGAAGTCAAGACATTTTCTGGGTCCTCACTTTCTTGGAGCTCTACTGCGCTCTACTATAGGTTTAGAGTTATGGTGTGAATTAAGTTTTGGTTAAGGTTAGGATTAGGAATAGACAAGTAATGATTAGGGAAAATGTCTGGGTTAGGCATAAATGCAATGACATAAATAAATGGAAGTCAACACAAAGTCCTCAGATTGAATGCCTGTGTGTGAGCTGCTTACCATGAGCCAGACAGGGTAAGGCACTTTTCGGAGAATGTGAGGGGCATCAGAAGACACAGAAGGCACCCCACTACACCACAGAAGTGAATAGAGCCAGGGCTCGTTGACAGGGTAGACAGTCACACTCACATTACTGGCCAGATATTTCCTGAGGGGTGTGGGTGTGTGTGTGGAGGGGAGGGGGGAGGGGGGGAGAAAATATGTTAGCACGGATAACAAACTTCTCATGTCATTGCTTTTGTAACTATCCTGTTATTACTCACATCCTGCATACAGCTCAATCAATACTACATAAATGTCATAAAATGACAAAACAAAATTTAGTCCAATATTTAGCCTGGAGATTGGAATCAGATGATAGATTTACTGTCTTTGGTCCCTGATGTTCTATGGTCTCTGATATTCTTTGGTCCCTGATGTGCTATAGTTCTTCATGTTATGTTTCCTGATGTTCTTTGGTTAGTGATGTTCTATGGCTCCTGATGTTTTTTCATCCCTGATGTTCTATGGTCTCTAATATTTTTTGGTCCTTGATGTTCCAAGGTCCCTGATATTTAGTTCCTGATGTTATTTGATCCTTTATGTTCTTTGGTCCGAATGTTCTAAAATCTGATGTTCTTTGGTCCCTAATGATCTGGTTTTTGGTGTCTGATGTTCTATACTCCCTGATGTTCTATGGAGCCTGATGTTCTATGGTCTGTAATGTTCTTTGATCACTAATGTTCTATATTCCCTGATGTTTGGTGCCTGATGTTTTTTGGTCTATGAGGTTTTTTTTATTCCCTGATTTTCTTTGGTCACTGATATTCTCTGGTACCTGATGTTCTTTGGTCACTAATGTTCTGGATTACCTGACATTCTTTGTTCCCTGATTTTCTTTGGTCACTGATGTTCTATGGTCCCCCATGTTCTATGGTACTCGATGTTCTTAGGTCCCTGATGTTCTTAGGTCCCTGATGTTCTTTTGTTCCTGAAAATGTTTGGTTTCTAATGTTCTATGGTCTTTAAAGTGTTTTTCCCCTGATGTTCTTAAGTCCTGAATGTTCTTAGGTCCCTGATGTTCTTTTGTCCCTGAAAATGTTTGGTTTCTAATGTTCTATGGTCTCTAAAGTTTTTTCCCTGGTGTTCTTGGTCCGTGTTATTTCATCCCTTATTTTCTTTGGTCACTGTTATTCTATGGTCCCCTATGTTCTATGGTACCCAATGTTCTTTGGTTCCTGATGGTTTTAGATTCCTGATGTTCTTAGGTCCCTGATGTTCTTTTGTTCCTGAAAATGTTTGGTTTCTAATGTGGCCTTTAAAGTTTTTTTTCCCTGATGTTCTTTGGTCCCTGTTATTTCATCCCTTTTTTCTTTGGTCATTGATATTCTATGGTCTCTGATGTTCTATGTTCTGTTGTTCCAGCAATCTGTTTGAATCAAGGTTAATTTAATGGAAGAATACAGAGATGGACAGCTAAATCATAAAAAAGGCAAAAATACTGTGGATATAAAAAGTTTTCACATCCCCAATAAATTACAGGTTTTTTTTTTTTGTGATGTAAAAAACTGAGACCAAGATAAATTATTTCAGATATTTTCCAGCCAGGGAGTTTAATGGCCAAGACTGACCCAATTTTTCTAACATATAAAAAATTTGTCAAAAGTAGCACGAGCATGTATTTTTGTATTGCAATATGGTAAATAAGGAAAATTTATTAAACACAACTGTGTGGTTATGTAAAAAAGGCTAAATTGAACATTGTGACATTTGAGTAAAAAACTATATCAACTTACTCTAACTCAAGGATCTACAGCAGGAGTGACAAACTAAGTTACACAAAGGGGACAAAAGTCAAAACTTGGTCCAAACTGCGGGCCATTTTCTGTCAATTTAATGTTACAAATTACATTTTCCAAATCATTTTTATGTACCTTCCAGGACAGACATAACCTTGTTCTAGGACCCCCATACTAGGTCACCTTTAAGAAAAAAGCTGTTGTGGTTTTACTCTTTGGTCAAAATGTATTTTTTGTCACGGTGCTTTTTATAGGCGCTTGTGTAACCATGGGCGACCAGTTTTTTCAAAAACTCCCTGGATATCTGAGCCCCGTTTCAGAAAGCAGGATAAGTGAAAATCCTAAGTTCTGGGGTAACTGCAGCGGGTAAAATAAGTATTGAACACGTCACCATTTTTCTCAGTAAATATATTACTAGAGGTGCTAATGACATGAAATTTTCACCAGATGTTGGTAACAACCCAAGTGATCCATACATACAAAGAAATCAAACCATGAATGAAAAAGTATTGAACACACTTACTGAAATTTATCTAATACTTTGTACAAAAGCCTTTGTTGTCAATGACAGCTT